GGAAGGCAAGCATTAACATTTGTTTTGGAACATATTCTGACTATCTTACCACAGTCTCTTCCAAACCCTTTAAATCTTGCCTCGCTTGTTCCCGTCTGTCCTGCATAACCCTAAAAGAGAGTAAATGCATCCTGAAACATCCGAGCAAAATTGGAAATGTTAATGTTTTAGGAGACTAGAGTGGTAAATACTATATGGTACAAAAGAAAAATGTTTTTCAGTTGAAGTCCTCAATTAATGATGTAACCAACAGATGACAACACACAGAAATCCATATGGGGTGGGATGGGAGTGGGGGAGCTGCAGGAGGAAAAGAGGGAAGCACATTTAATATTGAAGGAATACAAACAAGTACATTCAGATGCATAAATTATAAAGTTTCTAGAATAGAACTATAGAATCATTTAGGTTGGAAAAGACCTTTAAGATCATAAAGTCCAACCATTAACCTAGCACTTCCAAGTCTACCACTAAACCATGTCCCTAAAGAAAGACTCTGAGTGAGGTTCAGGGTGAATACTTGGGGAGATCTTACCCTAGAAGTGTTCTTAGCTCTGACCAGCTGAGATGACAAGTATCTCGTGACAGATTAAGGATTTTTTTTCTTTGTTGTTTATGATGCTAGCTTTGGCAAATGTGTTGGGGGTGAGGGGGTAAAACAAAACAATCTCAGTTTACAGGAATATAACCTAATGATTATCACTTTACAGAGCTTGTGTCTTCCTATTTAATGTGAAAGCATTTACTGCATGCTAATGTTATCTCTCAATTATAAGGCAGTGCAATTACTAAGATGACAGGATACAGGAAAGGAATTTGGACTTTCCTTTTTAATAAGTCCAGGTTGGAATAGGAAGGCCAGGGACTGCATGAAAATGAAGTGTTCCTAGTAAGTAGCCAAAAAGTTTCTCTTCGTCTTGAAATTTCTTCTCACTCTGCCAGTTCCGCTACTAGTTCACAGCTAAATGATTAAACATTTGAGGTAACAAAATATTCTAAAGAACATCTCAGCATCCTATCCATTTTCCAGCCCTCACTGGAAAAGTAGTTCCAGGCATCTTATACAACATCAAGTTTAAAAAAAAAAAGGGGGGGGGGTTTGTGAATAATCTGTATTGTTTCTGGCCTGTCATTTGCCATGAACATTTATGACATACAATGAAAAGTAACTGGATTCAAGAAGGCTGGGGGAGGACACAGAATATCAAACTAATTTTTAATGTTTCTTTGCAAGTCTTCTGAAGAGGAAAGCTTCTAATATAGCAAGTGCCTTTAAGGGATCAATGCGATATATACTTTAGCCTGCAAATTGAAATAAGCAGCAATAATGTGGTATGTATATCAAATCTTACAAGACAAGAACAGCTATTGTAACTAATGTAACTTTTGTAATCATTGTGGCATATAAATAAATCAGAATAAGATGGATTCACAAGACCAGAGTAGTGTTAAAATTTTAGTCAGTTAAACCAACACTGTATTTCACAGTAAGGCTAAAAGAAAAAAAGAAAAATGAAAAAGAAATGTAAGTGTTGCTTATTGGTTACCAGTACAGACCAGTCAGGTCCCTCTGATTATTTAAAATTTTATGATAAAAACCCTGAAAGCCACTGTGTGTTTTTAAACATGGCCAAAAAGCATGCAATTTCGAAAAAAAATTTAAGTGTAATGTAGTTTTAACTTCTGTAAAGATAAATTCATATATGCCAGAAAGGGGTCGCTACTGATACTCTAGAAACATTTCCAGGAGATTATGGTCAGATTTCTAGAAGCTGAGAACTGGTTTTCAGCTTGACCCTTGGATACTTACCTGCAAGCAGAATTCAATTCTAATTTTTACATTAACTTTTCAGTCTCTAATTCACTAATACACTGTATTTAATTACTCAATGAAGTATGCAGCTGTTTAATCTCAAGAACAAGCCAGTTAAAACCACCTAACTAGTTAAATTACACAAGAACAACAACAAAAAAAGAGTAAGGGAACTCAAGAACCCAAAAAAAAAAAAAAAGGGAACTGTTACAAGCCTCTTCCAGTCTTAGAGCATGCAATACTTAGCTGCAGACTGAAAAGTTAATTACTCCAACCTATAGCATAATAACAAAGAAAAAGTTGTGGCCTTCTTTTCTTTCATCATTTTTCTTCCAATTTTAAATATTAAGGCAGTGCAAAGGTTTTAAAGAATGTAAGTTCAAGATGGCTCTGGAGCCTCTCTCTAATAAGCTTATCATACAGTGAGAGCCCCTTCCATCATATTAGGTCACTAGTTTTTAAAACGTAAGTGTTCCCACACACATTTGTTTTATGCATGATTATCACTTACGTAAGTTCATGAAGTTTTCTACTTTTTTCCTGATCAGTTGCTTTCAACTTCTCGTGCTCAACTCTAAGACGTTCCTGTTCAAGCATCATCTTCTGGTTTTGGCTGAACACAGAAAGTAAATATTACATCAACTGAACCTGTCAGACACGACATTCAGTAAAGCAACACAAGTTAGAAAGACACTGCTTGAGGAAACCCTTGCCACTTCCTTCCCACCATACTGTGCTTGTGTACTCACACAGTCCAGAGACATTTGGCTCTAACAAAATAATGACAGTTACTTACTCTTGAAGTTCAGTGATAAGTTTCTCCTTTGCATCAACTTCATCTCTTAGGCTACTGATTTGTTTCTGATGCGTCTCACGATGACTCTGAATTTGCTGTTCCACAGCTTGCTATTAGAAAAACCAGTATGTATTACATGCTTTAAGAAGGTGCCATACCTCACTTCGTTTAAAAAAAAAAAAAAAAAAATTAACTTACCTTGACTTCATTTGCCGTTTGAACCTTATTTAAGTGCTCTTTCTCCATCTCATGGACTTTTTCTAGTATGGATAGAGAAGAGAAAACACACTTCAGCCAGGTAACTAGGCAACCACAGGGAAGATGGTGTTAGATTCCCCTTCCCTCCCCAACACCTTAAAATTTGGAAAAAGTCCCTTCTCACCACAAAGATCAATTAAATCAGTTAACATCTTTAACTTAATCCTATCCATAGCAGTTCTTTCAAACAGCAAACATGCGTTCCCATTGACTAATTCTATATGTTCAGCACCAAAAAACCATTCTATAGCTGCCCTTCAATCTAAATAGAACAGAACAATTTCCTATTTATCACTATATACTTAAAAAGGTGGTGGTGGTGGGTGGGGTGCAGGGAGGCAATTCCTACCCTGTGCTCGGAGTTGGACTAATTCTTCATTAAGGGAATCCACAGACTCTTCCAGCTGCCTTTTTTTCTGTTCCACATTCTGAAGATATTCAGTCAATGACTTGATCTTTGCTTCATGCTTGTAGAATGGAAAGATTCATTTACTTTGGAACTAGGTATCACAGAATTACATCTGCATAAACAGTTTATACTTATTTTTAAACAAGTAACCTGTTCTCAAAACAAGAACGGTGCCGATTAAACTCTAAGACGACTACGACTACTCAAGTAGATCTGTAATGTAACCTGTTAAGACAATGTCTTTAGACTGGAATGAAATACATTTTTGGCTAGGAGAAGAGATGTTTTGAATGTTAAATACTATCAGAGGCAAGAAAGTCCCACTGTATTTAGAAGACTGCACTGAAATATGCATGTCCTGATTTAGAAAAAAGATGACCATCTGTATGTAAAATGAAATACAGAAAAATTAAATTGCATATGTAGTTCACAACTTTCAGAGTTTTAGAAGTCACATTACTGATCTTTTCTGACAACCGCATTAAAATAGCTTTTCTCACATTAGAAGTAAATTTAACCTGCTATGCAAGCCTACTGTAATCTTATTGCGCTATTGCTACCTCTCCCACTTCCACTGGCTGCATTAGTAGGCAGAGTGCTCACTACTCACTGCTTCTGCAAGACGTATTTGTAAAAGATCCTATGACAGAGAACATATGGACCCTAGTATTTAATACAAATGCCACAAAAGCATTATCAGGCTACAGACATACTGCAGAAATTCTGACATCCTGTCACACAATTACTCAGAAGCATCCAAACTGAAGAGAGTATTGAGGATTCAGATGAGTCTTGTGGCTGTTCAGTGTACTTTGTTAGGTGTCAAGAAGAAATTGCAACATTCCCCCCCGCCCCCAGCAAATTAATGGATTCAAAAGAACATTTAAGAGGTACAGCGTAAAGAAACATTTACCTGTGAGATACGGAGCTGGCAGGCAGCCAACTCCTTTTCATTTTCTTCCATTTTCTTATTGCTTTCTGCTTGTGTGCTTTCTAACTGTTTGCAACGTTTTACCATTGTTTTTACTTCTGATTTCATTTTACTAATGTACAGTCTTGCAACTGTAAATTCTTCATCTATCATGCCAGTTCCCTCAGGCTGCTGAAAAATGTGGAATGACACATTTAGAAAGCTCAGACAAGGAAACAGAATTAAAGATGAGCTGGAGCAACTTAGCACCCAGCACACATCCCCTGCCTCGACTGGTAATCACAGCATTTACACACTAAAATGTAACTTCTAAGTTTTCTGATTATTTAGAAGTTTGCACAAAGGTAATGAGTCGCTTTAAGAAGGAAATACAGTTCACTGCAGATTTCTAACACTGCTTACATTCTTGTCCTACACTGATCTTCTAGATTTATCTTTTATTTCAGTTCCTCATTCCATTTTTAATAAGTAACATCTAGATTGCTGCTGTAGATCAGCATTAGATTTCCAAGACAATGCTGCTGATAACGACCATTTCTTACGGCAGTTTAACAGTATGAACAAAAACACTACTTCAGAAAAAAAGCAAAATCATACCTGCTCTTCCTTGTCTTTGCATAATCAAATTCTGTTTGGGACCTGATAAGTCACAGCGTAAGCAAGGGATAAGATTATGCCCAAATTATTAATTTACATGAGGCTTCCTATGGTGGTTATCTTTACCATACTAAGAAAACTGACCCCACCTATCCACAATGTATGCGCGTAATACACAGCATTAAAAATTGCACTGACTAATTCTTACCTTGACATCATTATTTCCTACTGCGATTCCTATCTCTGCAAGATCTTTTAGTAAGGAGGCCATCATCTCTGTTGCTCGCTTCTTCTGATGGTTGGTCATTTCTTTAAGCTTCTGAAGCTCCGCATCTATACTGGCTAGAGTGACCTACAGTAAAAGTTACACTTTAAAACACACTCTTATTTTTAGAACTAGTTTCATATATTTATTTAAATACAGCAACATGTGGCTGCCTAATATTTTTATGTCTAAAACCAGATTGGTATCAACCTATGTGAATACACCATATAGTAAACATTTAGAAGTCCTAGAGTGATGGTATTTCTTCTGAAAGAAATGTAAAATACTGGGGACAGAGGCCTTCAGCTCACAAAATATAATTTTACAACCCTGCAACAAAATTCATATCAATATTGTTAAACAGCAGTTATGTATGGTTAAATATTGCAGAGGATTGCATTTGTAGGAAAAAGGTACATGGACAACAAGCTGAATGCTTTCCACCGTATTTTGGCAAAGGAAGATCATTTCATCTTTACCTGCAGAGCTCTTAAGTCTTTCCTACTTGCAAATCAAAAAATGGCACCCAGTTCCAAGAGTTCCTAAGCACTACACTTTAGACCAGTTTTTCAGCTAGTTTGAGCTGCTGTGATTGTAATGGCTGCAGCTCAGCAGCTTATGCACTCAGAAGTTGTCTGCTTTTGCTCTCCAGTTTTAAAAAAGGTGCCAAAAGTTTTACAACAGGAAAGTTTCAGCCAGGGATGCCAAAGGATGGTCACTGCATAGGTTAGCTGTGACAGACTGAGAACACTGAAATGTCTTAATTTTACTATGTCTCAGAACAGTCATTGCTTTCTCATTGAAGTTATTCACGACACTCAACGCATGTTAGTTACAACATCTAGAATTACTTGATTATCTATAAACTAATTAAAAACAACAACAAAGCAAACAAAAAACCTCCCAAAACCAAACCACACACTTCAGAATCACACACACATACAGCTAGCCTATTCCACCAAATTTTAAATGCCGCTCATCGTAGGAAGACCAGAGCTGACTTTCAGCTGACCTTAAAGTGATACACATTACCAATAAAAATTACTCAGCTCAGAATACTTTAAAGTTACTTTAAAGTTTAAAGGGAGGTTTCATGATCTTGCGAATATCAATTTTAATGCCAGTGTTCCACCTAGTCAAATCTTACTAACTGAAAATTGAAAGCCACGTTCACTAGAAGACCCAGACCCACTCAATTTTCATCTTCAAGAACAGAGAATAACGAGACTTGCACCATCACATATTCTGTCTGCAATGCCAACAAACAAGTTGATCCTTTCCAGTACTCAGAATTTTAGGATAGTGGGTAGACTATTAACTGTTTAAAACTGACTGAAGTCTGCCACATAACTGGCTACCAAAACTGTCAGTCAATTCACAAACTATGTAGGTATGTGAGGAGGCATACGGTATTCATCCTGTGGGACTGATTCTGCATCTGTATTTTAACCAGGGCGATCTTTTGGAATATGTCCCCAGTGTTCTGGACGACTACTTTCACAAAGTAAAATCAACTGCCTATTTTTGAAGGCATCAAGATAAGTTATATTTTACGTGCCATAAATACAGCATGCAAATACACATTCCTTTCAAGAAAAGCTGCAGCATGCTCACTGCAATTTCAAGATTGGAAGGAGCAGATTCCTAAGTGAGGATTACCCCAACTGCACCAGAAAGAGGAACAAAACTGAGTCAGATCACCAGCATGTAATGGAATTGTTAACTTCTGACATCTCGGATTTCTCTGAATACTCTCCAGGTAGTAAAATGCCGTAAGTACTAAAAAGATGAGAGCTATCAAGGTCAATATTCACTGTGCATTTTTCTGAAGATTACTCGTTTTAGAAAAATCATCCTTTGCTAAAACTAAAAAAAAGTTTTACACTTAAGTTCCCATCTTCCCTTGTGAAAAACCTTTGAATGACCTCAAGCAAGAAATACAGTTAAGGCAAGAAAAGTTACACTGAAGACTGTCAGTAATTTCTTATCCCAATTTCATACCGATTTTTGATTGAGTTCATCACTAAGCAGTTCGTATTCCTTTGCCTTATCTTCTACTTCCTGAGACTTCTGATCATAATTGACAGCTAATTCTTCAAGGGCTTGCAGCACCTCTTTCACTTCCTCTTTAGAGGCATCATTTTCAGCCTGAAGGCGATTCAACTCTGCTTGCAGGTTGTCTTGGTCCCGTCTGGTTGATGCTAGAAGCTGCAACATTTAAAGATTTATTTAAAATTACAACAACAAATAATCATCAAGAAAATTCCATGTATAAGCTGAATCTTATTAAAGCTTTTAGCTACTACAATAGCTTATATCTACATTTTTAGTGTCTAGCATCACGCAATAAGGATGCCGTGGACGGGTACAGTGAGAATATAATGAACAATTAAATTTATCATCTATATGCATAGTCCTTTAGCTTTTAAAGTATTTTCTATAAATGCATTTTCTATAAGTACAATATAAATACAATGTTTCTATAAATACATTAGCAACAAAAGGAGGGCTAAGGAGAATCTCCATCCTTTACTGGATGTGGGGGAAAACATAGCGAAAGAGGATGAAGAAAAGGCTGAGGTACTTAATGCCTTCTTTGCCTCTCTCTAATAGTAAGACCAATTGTTCTCTGGGTACCCAGCCCCCTGAGCTGGAAGACAGGGATGGCGAGCAGAATGAAGCCCCCATAATCCAAGAGGAAATGGTTAGTGACCTGCTACACCACTTGGACACACACAAGGTTATGGGGCTGGATGGGATCCACCCAAGGGTGCTGAGGGAGCTGGTGGACCTGCTCACCAAGCCACTTTCCATCCTTTATCAGCAGTCCTGATTAACCAGGGAGATCCCAGTTGAATGGAAGTTAGCAAATGTGACACCCATCTACAAGAAGGGCTGGAAAGAGGATCCAGGGAACTACAGACCTGTCAGTCTGACCTCGGTGCCAGGGAAGGTTACGGAACAGATCATCTTGAGTGCCACCACATGGCATGTACAGGACAACCAGGTGATCAGGCCCAGTCAGGGTGGGTTTATGAACAGCAGGTCCTGCTTGACTAACCTGATCTCCTTCTATGACAATGTGACCTGCTTAGCAGATGAGGGAGAGGCTGTGGACACTGTCTACCTATACTTTAGTAAAGCCTTTGGCACAGTTTCCCACAGCATTCTCCTGGAGAAACTGGCTGCCCATGGCTTGGATGGGCATACTCTTCATTGGGTAAAAAACTGGCTGGATGGCTGGGCCCAAAGAGTTGTGGTGACTGGAGTTAAATCTAGTTGGCAGTCGGTCACAAGTGGTGTTCCCCAGGGCTCAGTACTGGGGCTGGTTCTGTTTAATATCTTTATCAACGATCTGGACAAGGGGACTGAGTGCACCCTCACTAAGTTTGCAGACAACACAAAGTTGGGCGGGAGTGTTGATCTGCTTGAGGGTAGGAAGGCTCTACAGAGGGATCTGGACAGGTTGGATCGATGGGCTGAGGCCAGCTGGATGAGGTTCCACAAGGCTAAGTGCTGGGTCCTGCACTTCGGTCACAACAACCCCATGCAATACACCAGGCTTGG